TATTTAACAATATTTTTACCGAAAGTGTAAAAAGGGACCGTATGAAATTTTCACTTAAAACTATTATCATTAGTAATCTTTCCTCGATTATATTTTTTGCTTTTCCTATAATGATTGTTAAATTAATTAATTATGATAATAATGTCAAGCGAAAATTTCAAAAGGTGTCTTGAAACATTCGGTAAAAATAGTATTAATATACATACTGTTGTAATATGGATATGCACGAAGTATTTAGAGTGTACGATCTATTTATTTGGATCTTTCGATTAAAAATATTCGATTTCCGTAAACTATTATTCTGCATTTAAGATGCATAGAAATCGCTGCAGTTAATGCTCTCCTTCTTTTGAGCAGCTTATCGCTTGCAAACTACTCGATCTCGTTCGAACTACTCGGTTCTTTTAAGTTAAATACCCAACTCAGTTCGTTTATTAACTGAGTGTCATTCGGTTTAATTTTCCGAGTATTTTGTCCAAATCCAACAGAACACACTGTCAATTATAGAATTTCGAAATGAAAGATCGATCGATTTGTTAATGTACATCGGATCGGATGAGTAGACTGCGGATTTTACACACTTGTAAAAAAAATTAGGTGTGCAAAAAACATAAAGCCTGCATGCAATGTATAAAATTCAATAGAATATGAATAGTATAACGTACATCAATATTTTCGAACAATAATATAGCTTTGAATCCAGATTTCCAAATTATAAATTGACTTGACAAATGTTTTGGATAAAAATCCGCAGCCTGTCGATAAGAATTTTCTATACTCTAAAAGTCAGAAATGACAATATTGATTTACATTAATATACAATATATTATAGGTGACTGGAATTGGAATGCCATTATGGTACTGTCAATATTAAAACCTAACCTCCGTATATAATATTTATGGGATATGATTTAATAAGAGACAAGCAATGTAACATGATAGGTCGTATGTATATGCCTAGATTTGTATGTCTATCTATGTACAAGATGTTCGAAAATATTACCTCAACATTGCACTCTGTTAAAATCAATGTATGCTGTAACTGTAACAGCCCGGGGGGAGGGGGGGATTGCGAACGTTCACCTTTTATTTCGTTTAAGTATTGTAAACTATCGTTCTATATTCACGTTTCAGTCTTACGCGAACCAGACTGGTCTCACTGTCAAATGCATCGCTTGCCAGCTGCTCTTTTTACACGAGGGGAGGTCGCCGAACCCACGTAATTACACAACAATCGCCAATGATAAGATTAGAATATTTTCTTATTACACGTTATTTATAAACGAAACTCGCGGCGTTACACGAAATAAACAAATTTATCTGTGAACACAGATAACCGGTTCCCGATATGTAAAAGTCGACAAAACTCGTTAAATCCTAATGTTTCCAATTAACCCACAATCGATTTTCAATATATTTACACATACGATAGGTGTAACTGTTAAATAAACTCTGTCCTTTGAGTAATTAGATCGCTTAACATTACTATATTTAATCGTATTGCATTGCGAAGATGAATATCATAGATAATATTCTTTGTTTTTCATTAAATAAAAATAATACTATGTACGATCAATTATGAGTTAATTTTCCATCCATTCAATAACATCGTATGTTAATGATTAATAGGTACGCGTCACCGATCTCAGCATGTCTTACATATGTACCGAGAACTTAATATACAAAGATGAAGCTGTAACGCACTGGTGGACAATTCATCGTCAGAGGAAATTTGGCTAGCGAATTGTTCACCAATGTCGCAGTGTATGCGTATTCATTACCCTTTTGGCACTGCTAAAAAGCCCGATCGTTGGTAACAAAATACTAAATTTACTCGACCCTCCACTTGCTCTGCAAAATTATGTTTCTGAACGATGGCATAAGGCAAATCATGCAATTCTGATTAGGCCTTGAATATCGCCGCGATACTTAATCCACGTACTTATTATCACAGTTTTATGTTACTAATCGAAACTAATTTTTATCGAGTTCAAAGGATTCAATTGTTTAAGAACGGAAATCATTATAGATTCGACGTCAGAGCAAGTGAAAGGAATTTTTGTATAAAACGAGACATTATTTAAGTAAAATATTACGTATAAATCAGAGCGTGCATCTCGAATAACCATCGTTCTCCTAGAAACAATTCAATAGTTGTCGGTTACAAATTACCTTTTTTAAACAACTAATTCAGTCTTTGATGGCTCAATAGCGGAACACTGAAATGACAACTAAAAACCGGAAAGACATTTTATAGACAATACAAATATAAGACGTAGGGGTCGCGATGTTAAATACTGAAACACTTAACTATGTAACTGCAGTCTGTACACATTGCGGAGAACTGGTTTAGACAAGATGCACCGGGTTTTATTAAATATTTTCAACATATAAATAACGTAATGATCACACGTCCACTATTATGTACACATACCTCAAGCGATTTTGAGGTTGTACGTGGCGCCATCTAGCATTCGCGGTCGGAACGATAAATGGCGCCAACCTCAAAATCGTTTGAGGTCCCGTGTACACAGGATGCAATACTTATTTCAAAGCTAGGTGAATGTAAGACTTCGAAAGTCGCTGTAAAATAAACCGATCGCCTTAAATATTTTATGTCGTACAAATGCAAAATAATTACAGTAGCTTGTATAATCCGTGCAAGAAGGTTCTAATAAATTCCTCATAGCTTCCAATCAGTTAACTCGACTGTCTCTACCAGGTACGTTTGTATAAAATTGTTGAGTCATCTTCTTTGTAACAATTCACATATGATACGACTTCGTAGATAAAAATTATCCATTGAATATTCATTTGGCTAGTATTTCATTCATTTTGTTATGTTGAATAATCGCTGCACGATCGCTGACGTCAATGAGGAACGCAACTATTCAAAGAAAGAAAAATTTACATATTATCCTTAGTGATGCGAGAAAGAAATAAAAAAATTCCCATATTCACGTCTTCGTCATTAATACTGTACATATAGATAAGCATTTGTTAATTGCGTTTTAGTTAAGGTTTATACAAAATTCGATTGATCGAACACATAACGAACTAAGTTAATTATAAAATATAAGCGGTATTAATGATTTATGTAAATAGTTATGACACAATGGTACGCGATACGTTAGTTGCCGTTCCTCATTGATGTACGCGTGAAAAATATGATACAGAAAAATGGTTGTGCAATTTAACTAAAGCTATAATACACGTAGATTAACTACATACTAGATTCCTTAGTGGTGATAGTCTCGTTGGTATTATCAACTCGTATCAACGTCGACGAATTTAAAACAAGCGTCCTACTCAATGTAGCAACTCTTTCCATTACACAAGAAGCTGAGAGACGCGCTTCGGCATCGTGATCCCAACATTCTTCCATTGTATCACAAATTGATTGAAGTCCCTGGAAAAATGATAACGCAAATGTTAGAGCTGTGGAAGAACCTGAAAATCGACAATAATAATAAAAATAATTCTCATTTTCTCTTTTTCCATTCTTAGTTCGTTCTTTGTTAAGTTTCTCGTCCCGATCCGACCCGACATTTCCGGGTTCTCGCACACCTCTAGCAAATATAAATACACGAACACATCATACGTTTTAAAATAATCAAGTGGCCTTACACTTACAGGATGTTTTCGCCACGTTTCCAGAATGATTGGCCTCTCCTTTTTGTGCACAACACTTTCTTGCATGTCTTCTAAAGTAGGATGTAAACCCACTTCATCCTCAAATGGTAATCTATACTCGCCAATCGGTCCCTAAAATAAAGGAGGAACGCGGATTGTGTTGGTCTTCAATTTAATGAATCTAATGCTATATAGAGTAAAACTAATAAATTACGTCTTGCACAGTGCATCTCGATGCCAATTCCCAAAGCACCAGACCGCAAGCATACATATCGATTCGTAAAAACGAGTCTCTTGTAAAATTAATCGCTCCCTCCAAAACTTCTGGAGCCATGTACCTTCTTGTTCCAACCTGTAAAATGACATATTTATTTATTTGTTTGTTTATTTATTAAACGGACTTTTATATACACGTGAATATACAATCCTGCTCAAAAGTACGGAGCATTCACGTTTGGACAAAACAAATATTTTGACACACACACACAGATGTTTCTTTCAAATATTACATTTATATAAATATTACAATGTATTAACATGTTTTATAATTGAATTTAGTACAATTTGACAAATATAGTATAACAAAAAAGAAAACGATAAAACAAGGAGCAGTGGAATGCACGACAAGCAAATTGTACTAAGTCGTTTACAAGTTAAACAAACTTTGGAGCCGATTTTCAAGAAAACGGAACTCCGGATAAAAAAATATTATACCAAAATATTTTTTTCTTTTTTAACGAACAATTATCCCCTGCCCGGTTGTACTACGATTTCCGGCCCACCCTGTATATCAAACTTTGTATTTTGAGCATACCTGTCCGTGAGTATCTCCGCAAGGCTTCCCGGGATGAAATATTAGCGCTAGACCAAAATCGGCTATACAGGCACTCATATCGGCTTTAAGTAAAACGTTCTTCGACTTAAAATCTCTATGAGCCACAGCAGGTTTATACCCGTGGACCTTATTGGCTGGAATTTCTTCGTGCAAGTGCATCAAGCCTCTAACCGAATAGAAGAAAACAATTATAATCACACGAATATGTACATACAAATACTTGTTTAAAACTCGTATCGAAAGATTACCTTGCCATGGACTCTGCTATTCTACACATCTCGGGCCATGTTACAACATTTGCCTTCAAATAGTCGCACAACGAACCCTTTTCGTGGTACGCGGTGATTAACCAGAATTCGGTTTGTAAATTATCTCCCCTTTTCTCAACGCCTATAAACCGCAATATATCCTCGTGATCCATATGCGCGAGTTTGAATATCTCCTGTTCTGTCTGCCAAGACTGTTTGTCTTGTATCGGGAATACTTTTACGGCAACGATTTCATTCTTTAGCTGCGCTTTCCAAACAGCTCCGAAACGGCCACGAGCTTTTATTTCGAGCAACTGTATGGGACGTAATCCCAAATTAGGGGATGGCTGTGGCAACGGCAAAGGCTCCAACGTTGGTACCTGCAACAACCATTTCATGTGACACGCATAAAATAAAAAACTTGACAATATCGTACTAAAACAAAAGATATATAATGTTTAGTAATTAAGCGATCTGTACATATGCCTTCCAAACCTCGTTGAAATATCCCGACTTTCGTCGTCGGTAACACCAGTATAGAAATGGTACAATGATAGCAAGTAAGAGTATAGGTATCGATATTGACAATACGAGGGTGATTATTTGTTGCTCTGTGTTTGGAACTGGTTCTAATTCTGAAACAAATGTTAAATGGTCAACGTTTTAAAGAGCATGTACTCTCATTAATATTTGGACACACTTCCAAATAGAGTAACTTTTTTAATATTAGATCGAACAACATATTCATATAAAATAATTATTAAGAAATTGTTATCACATAGATTCAAACATATAATATTACATAATGAATAAAAATAGTAAACTTTTTGGTCGTAACACTAAAAATAAATTTTTTGAGAGTTGAGGTTCCAAAGATTTTTAAAGTATCGATAATAAATCAAGTTTGGCGATCCCTGCTGTATATTAACAGTTCATTCAGATGTAAGATAATACCATGAATAACAGAAGGTTGTATAGGTTTAGAAGAAGAAGTTGGGTGAGGCTCCCATGTGAAATTTTGATTGCACATATTGCCATCGCAGCAACAGAAAAATAATTCCTTTTTCCTTTCTGCACTGTTCTCAATGCAATGTGGCCTGTCGTAGCAGTCATTGCTATCCAGGAAACATCCCTGAAATGTATAACTCGATCATAATACAATTCCTGGAGGGTGAAACACATTGCAGTACAGAAAACAACTTTCTCTGACCTTTAATTTAATGATAGACTTCTTCGTAGCATTATCAATTTGCCACAAGACGTAACAGTGATTTCTTTTGCCTGGGTCATGTGGCCCACACTCCTCTTTTCCTGAACATTCTTGTTGGGATTCTGTACACATAGTCTCATTGTAAAACTCACATACTGAGGAACCCTTGACATCGTGTCCGAATGTAGGTCCTACAAAATAACCATTGGTTTACATAAATTTTACGTAAATTTTACAGGCTGAAGATGAACAAATTACATCACAGACATTTAGATAATTTCCTTTAACTTTCATTTCGCATGTACATAACAACAAAGAAAAATGTCAATTGTATATTTAGGTGAATATTGTTTGATCGAATAGACAACAGAATATATAGGATAATGAATCGTGTTTATAAACATAGAACGATATCGTTTTATAAAGCATAAATTGAGTAACATTTCGAAATACATTCGGCGAGGAAATGGTACAATCCATGAAAGATACCGTGTCAGTGGTAATTTCAAGCTGCGGATGCGAGCATTAAACGGAAGAATATAATAGAACGCGCAATTACCTAACAATCCTAGGATGAGATATGGCAGTATCATCACACACGCGGACATCGTGAATGATTCGTAAAAGCATACCAGAAAATTTTCAAGTCTAAACGCACGGTGTTCGCGACGTGACTAAAGCGCCGGATTTCGGTGCGCAAGGTCCGGGATTCGCGCTCAACCCTCGCATTTGGGTTATTCGTACGCGATCCGTACCATCGCCGCGTGTACGTTTCGCAAATGCGGTGGCACTAGGGCACACCGTGTGTAACGACCGTGAAAGTCGATGCGCCGCGATAAATTAAAAAGAAAACAACGAAATCAAATTGAGTCTATTAGCTATTAAGCAAATTGTAGTAATTCGTCCACCACCGACACATCTCTCTTCCTCTCCCCTCCCCTTCTGGTGGAACGCACACACCATGAATCTAAAGTCATTTTTTTCACCATCGGAACATCACGATTCCGGAGCACTTTTTAACTAATACAATTGCTCGACAGGACGAACGGTCCAGCTCAATGACCCGGGAAGTACATTCGACGTGATACGGTTCGGAAATATTGATAAAAATCAAGTAAGTTTGTCGCCTCGCGAAGATACATGTCAGACGCACGGAAAGATAGATCATAAACCAATGAATCGCGTTAGACTGACCACGCTAATGGAAAATTGATAGGCCCAGTTGGATTATTGTTATCGCGTAAACAATATACAATCAATGATTGGATGTCTTAAATTTCACTTATTATGTAGTACAATGAACAATATGAAGAATATGAAGATGACAAAAATTAAAAACTGATTAACATCATTCGGTGAACACAAATGCTGTGTTTGCCGCAACTGTACCGACTGATTTGCCAAACATATCGATCGGTCACATTCCGCAAGCTGCTCTTTCGTTAGCTATTCGTTGTTCTCAGTACATTTATTTGTCAATGACTGATGCGCGGATTTCGACTAAACAGAAAGTCAGAAACAGCTTAACAGAAGAGAAGCCCGAGAAGGAAGCGATAGGGTGGCAAATGCTACTGTCAACTACCGTTTCCCTCTGACCGATCCGAGGCAGCCAAAAGCTACGCTCAGCAACCCGGCATCGATGATTCCGGCGACAAACGTCAGTACGGTCAGTACAGGTCCGTAATAATACGTTCCTCTTGCGGCGAATTTTAAAGGTTAGGCCAGAGGTGGCACAGTAATCTGATAACCGTATCGGAACCGGAGTATTTTTATGAAGTGTCAGAGTGTTTAATAATTTCCTCGAAATTGTACGAAGTTTCACGAAGATACAACGGCCTTAAATAACAAGCAATTATGGCAACGTCTGGTTCTGATAAGAAGCCGCGAGTAATCATTTTAGGAGGTAAAAACGTATTTTGTTTCGCACAATATTGAAGCGGAAGCGATGAACTAAAAAAAAAATGTTATCTCTGAAACAGGATGCGGTTTTATAGGACGTAATCTCGTAGAATATCTTTTGGATAACGATCTCGTGTCTTTTGTACGAGTCGTGGACAAAGTACCACCACAAACCGCTTGGCTTAACTCTGTACACCAGAAACTATTCGAACACCCCTTGCTAGAATTTAAAAGCGCTAATTTAATCAATTCAGGTAACATGCGATGATCATTTTATTCGTTTCATTGTTTAACTTACATGGTTAATTTTTGGTTTCCACATTTTAGTATCTTGTCAAAATGCTTTTTTATCCGATGATCCAATCGATTTTGTGATCAATTGTGCTGGAGAAACGAAAAGTGGTCAAACGGATCCTGTTTACAAAGAAGGGATTTATAAGTTGAGTATGAATTGTGCTCAACAAGCTGCCAAATTACAGGTCGATCGTTACGTAGAAATATCTGCTGGCAATTTTAGTACCTCCGATAAAGTATGTTCGCTTCACCGTTTTCATACCAAACAATTTATCACGAAAACGATAAATCTACTTTTCATTGCAGCATCCTCTCAAAGAGGAACAGATCGGTGAACCATGGACGTTCGTTGCAAAATATAAGTTACAAGTTGAAAATGATATAAAAAATATACCTAATTTAAAGTACACGATACTCAGACCAGCTACGGTGTATGGTTGTGGTGACAGGAATGGATTAGGTAATATTAGCTGGCTTTGTTATATTACGACGTTTCGAAAGTGTATTATGTGTATACGTATTTTTATTTCTTTTGTAGCTCCTCGTTTAGTAGTGGGAGCAGTTTACAAACATTTGGGAGAAATGATGAAATTACTTTGGGGACCAGATCTTCACATGAACACCGTTCATGTGAGGGATGTTGCCAGGGCTATCTGGCACGTTGTGAACAGACCAGACGCTATAGGTCAAACGTATAACGTTGTCGACATAGGTGATTCCACTCAAGGATCGATCAGTGCTATAGTTTCAGAATTATTTAACATCAACCATGATTATTGGGGCACTGCACTTTCTAAACTAGCCAAAGTATGAAGAAAACCTCTTTTGTTTTCGTGTATTTATTATTTACGATTTTGTTAAGTTTCATATACGTTGACCAAACATTTTGTATTCTAGACAGATATGAGTTCCATCGTTGAAGAGGTAAATGATAAACATATGGGACCTTGGGCAGAAGCTTGTAATAAGGATGGCGTGGAGAATAGTCCCCTCTCTCCTTACATTGATCAAGAACTCCTTTATAACAAACATTTATATTTGCAAACAGGAAAACTAGAAAGCACTGGTTTTATTCATCAATATCCAAAACTTACGAAAGATGCTTTGAAGGAGGTAATAAGCAGTGGTTGGAGTAATTAATAAAGGTGTGCGAGAATTTGAAAATGTCGGGTCGGGTTCTCGAAAATTTCAGGATTCCCGAAAATTCTCGAGTATATTCGTGTTTTTCGATTATACCAGGAAACCCGAAATTTTTAAATCCTGTAAAAGATTCTCATGTTTATGTTTATCAGATTATTGGATTAACAAGAAGGTAATTTCGATTTTCACAAG